CCTGTCCCTGCCTCTGGGAGGCCCTCCGCCACTGGCCTGACCTGGGCACTTGCCCTGAACCACCCCAGTGTCCCTGGAGCACCAGGTCAGCGGAAGGTGACCCCAGGTAGGGCCTCAACCCCAGAGGGGGCAGAGCAGCTGGTGCCCAGGGTCTAGGATCAGGGCAAAGGCAGCCCAGAGTCACTGGATGAAAGATTGAGAGACTGGGAAGTAGTGAACTCCCTGACCGTGGAGGCATGCAAGCGGTGGCACTGGTCAGGCAAAGGAATTGAACTCTGCACCCAGGGTTGGCTTGTTCCTTTTGAAGTTCCTTTACACATTGGGCTGCTAACTGAAATGTCAGCCATTCGAAACCACCAGCCACTCCGTGGGTTCCGTGGGAGAAAGACAGGACTTTCCACTCCTGTAAAGAATTAATGGTCTTGGAAGCCCACAGGGGCAGGTCTACCCTGCCCTACAGAGTCCCTGTGAGTCAGTGTTGCCTGGACGGCAGGGAGGTTGGTTTGGGTTTTCTCAGCTCGGAGGCATTAGGCAGAGGCCAAGGTCATAAGCACAGCCTTCAGGGGCTGTCCCTCCCTCCCACCTCGGCCAGGCCCCCTCTCACGGCCAATCAGTGGTTGGCCGCCCCCAAGAGCACCTGGCTGCCAGCTCCTGGCACAGCTCCCATCCTGGGCCCGGGGCACCCAGCACGCCGGGATGTGACTGCCTCCCTGCTTGGCCCCATGTCCAGCTGGTGCCTCGTGAAGCACCTGGCCTACCACCTCCCAGCCAAGTGCACAGAAGCCTGGTGCCTGGTGCTGAGCTCTACCAGGGTGGCTGGGCTATGAGACACGTGGGGAGGGTGGGGTGGGGGGGAACCTGGGGTGGCTATGGCCTCACTGTGGCAGCAAAGGGTCAAGGAGGGGTAGAAAAGGCACCCCTCACACCCCTAGTAGGGCATGATTCTGACTCATAGTGCATAGGGTAGGGTAGAGTCGCCCTGTGGGTTTCTGAGACGGTAACTCTTTAAGAGAGTAGAGAGCCTCATCTTTCCCCCAAGGAGCAGCTGGTGGTTTCAAACTGCTGACCCTGGGGTTAGCAACGCACCATGTAACCACTGTGCCACCACCAGGGCTTCATAAGCGCAGCCAACCTCAGGAGGCAGACCTAGGGCTGAGGTGGAGGTGGGAGAGAGAGGAGGGCCAGGTGTGGCTGGAGCTCTAGCTTTGAGGTGGGAAGCTGGGGAGAGGAGTGGCAGGAGTTAGTGCTAGGAGCTGGGGCAGCAGGGAGCCACTGCAGGTTTGGGAGGAAGACAGCAGCCCAGTCGCCAGGCTGAGGGGATGCAGGCCAGTGGAAGCAGTGACACCTGGATGGGAAGGGCCTCAGTGCAGGCCTGCAGTTGGGTGGCGGGGGGTGGGCGCAGGGGGGCGGGTGGAGGGGGATGGGGTGAACAAAGCCTGTGCACCATTGATCTGAGCCCTTCAGCACTACGTCTCCCCCAGGCCCAAAGCCCTGCCCGGAGCACCCCCCTCATCCTTCGGGTCAGGGTTTCTAATTCCACCAGCTCACATGCTCCCCCAGCCCCCTCAGGACAGCCCAGCCCTCCCTATGCAGCCACTCAGGCGGGGGTGGGCAAGACACGTGAAGTGACCACCCAGCTATTAACTCATGGTTGATAACCATGATCTTATCAGACATATCTGAGAGGGCTTCCTGGAGGGGGCATTAGTCGGACTATGGAGGGCAGTGAGGGCCTCTGGGTGGGGCCGGGCTGAAGCAGATTACTCTAAGCCAGTAGCTCTCAACCTTCCTAATGCCATGACCCTTTCATACAGCTCCTCGTGTTCTGGGGACCCCCCAACCATAAAATTATTTTTGTTGCTACTTTATAATTGTAATTTTGCTACTGTTATGAATTGGGCAACCCCTGTGAAAGGGTCATTCGACCCCCAAAGGGGTCACAGCCCACAAGTTGAGAACTGCTGCTCTAAGCAAAGGGGACTGACTGCCCGAGGAATGGGGTCGGGCTTCCCAGGCGGCAGGGCCGGGCAGGTGGGTCAGGGGTCTCTGCTGCCATACAATGGAGACCAGAGAAGCCACGGCCAGGGCCCTGGGGGTCTGGGCAGGAAGACTGTGCTCAGTGCTGGGCATAGGGACACAGGCGGCTGTTCAGCCTGAGCAGTTCCCCCTGCTGGGAAGAGCTCAGGCAAGACAGACAGGCGGACAGGACAGTATGGCAGGCAGGGGAAGCAAGGAGTCTGTGAGGAAGGGGCCAGGCCAAGAGTGGTGGTGGTGCGTGAGTTTGGGACAGGAGGCGGAGCTGGGAGATGCTTGGGGGTAAAAACTAGGCGGTGTAGTTGGGGAGGGGGTGAAGCGGCAGGGCACCAGGTTCTGCTCAATCAGCTGGGTGGGGAGCCCAGCAGTCAGGCCAGCCGGCAGGAGATCAAAGGAGCAAGTTGCTGAGGGGTCCTGTGTAGTGTCCTGTGGGGGGCCGTGCTGGCCGTGGCTCCCGAGAGGTAGGCAGAAGGGGATGAAGCCTTAGCTCCCTCAGGTCTGTGGGTCATGGAGGCCTGGGCAGGAGCAGACCCCCTGGCGATGTGGGGACACCAATCATTCCAGGGTCCGGAGTCTGAGGGATGAGGGGTCAGGAATTTGGGGGCCTCCAATGGCTGGCCAGCAGTGGAAGGAGCAGTGAAAGGGCAGGGTGTCAATAGCTCTGTCCCCAAGTCTGGCTCTGCAAGGAGGGGGGGCTCCCGGAAGCAGAGGCTGAGACAAGAGTCGGGCACTATGAGGACAGAGAGCCAGGGACTCGGATTCAGCAAGAAGACCAGCTCAGCCTGACCTCAGGGAGCCCCAGAGCCCCGGCCTCCTTGGTTGCACCCCAGGCCCTTGTCCTCCCGAGGGGGTGCCCGTGAGCTCCAGGGGGTGATGAAGGGGTGGTTGGGGAGGCCCCCAGCAGCGCCCACTCTGGGGTGGGTAGCTGGACAGTCCTGAGGCATCCTGGGGCTGGTGGGCCTGCCTGAGGCCTGAATTCAGGGAGGGGCCCACACAGCCCCTGTCCCATATGCCTGCCTCCGGGGGTACCAGTTAAGGTCCAGCTTCACCACTCACCAGCCACAGGGGGCCCCCTGCCTCTTCCAAGGGGCCGTGGGGAGGTTCCCGGGAAGAGTCTCAGAGACCCAAACCCCACGCAGCTGCACAGATGGCATCCCTGAGCCTCAGTTTCTCCGCCATGCAGTGAGGATGGCCCTGAGCCATGGTCTCTGGGCAAGGGGCCAGGGAGGGGAGTGGGCTTCGGGCAGAAGGGCAACCGCTAGGATGCCCTCCCCGCAGAGGAGAGGGTGGCAGGCGGCCCCACCCTCCCCAGCTGGCTCAAGGAGCCCTGCACTTGGGTGGCAGGGCCCCAGGGAGGGGGCGGTGCCACCCTCCTGGCTGTGCCAGGTGCCTCCCACGTGCTGCTCACCACAAAGGGGCCCTGGGGCTTTCCCCTGCACCACCCGCAGCCCCCACCGCTCCAGCCCTGTGGAGCCTGTCTCGGGATGGGAGGGGGGGAGGGAAGGAGACAGTAGCTGCCGCTCAGATTCCAAGCCCAGGCCCTTGGCCCTCAGGAACCCTAGGGAGGTATGGGGGCTATGGGCTGGGGTCTGCCTACCACGGTCCACTGTCCCTATCTGACGATCGGCCATAGGAAGCGGTGCTCAGGGTCTCCTGTGGTTGCCGGGCGAGGGGCAGTGAGCACACCGGTCAGTCCCCGCTTAGTGGACCCCATGTGTGAAGAGACCTGCTCCACACTGGGACCATCCAGAAGCAGACTCGGCGCCTCCCTTCTGCGGTACCTCAGGGGGCTGTGAGCTCCCCTGGTCTCCGTGAGCAGCCCAGCACTGAGCTCTAGGGCCACCCAGACGCACACTGCTGTGTCACTTGGTTCTGACGCAGAGCACTGGGTGTCAACAGAACGGACGGCCACTGCTGGGCCTGCGCCCTCCTCCCAGCCGCAGCTCGCTCTGAGCCCATGATTGCAGCCACTGTGCCCTTCTTGCCGCTGGCCGTCAACTTGACCAAGCACGATGCCCTTCTCGAAAACCAGGTTCCTGTCAATGCCCAGCGTCTAGGAGCCGCGGTCCCCCCACCCTCCTTACATCGTCCAGGACAGATGTTTATTCTTCTGGTTCACGTGATAGAGGAGGAAACTGAGGCCTTGCCTAAGGTCACACAGCTGAATTCAAACCCAAGCCTGGACGCCAGGGTTGCACTTTCTCTTTGAGCCCCTCCCTGAGCCTCAGTCTCTCAGTCTGTAAACTAGACTCAGGGGAGTCCCCTCACTAAGCTGCCGTGTTCTGGGGGCTCTACATCACCTCAGCTCTGTCCACCGCTGCTCTCCAGCTCTCAGCTGCGCCTCTCCCCCCTCCACCTGAGTTTGGACGGCCTCAGTGGTCCTCAGAGCTCCAGGTACATCATGGCAGCCGGGACCCCACTGTAGCTCCTGTCCCACCCAGAGTCCTCCCAGCCCTTGCTGGGCACAGGACTGGTCTCATCCAATGGCACAACGTTGTCCAGTAACTCACTCACTGCCATCGTGCCCATGCCGACTCACAGCGGCCCTGTAGGGCCCTGCCCTGTGGATTTCCGAGACTGTCACTCTTTACAGGAGTAGAAAGTCCCGTCTTGCTCCCATTGAGCAGCTGGTAGTTTCAAACTGCCACCTTGCAGTTAGCAGTCCAACACGTAACCACTATGCCACCAGTTCTCCTCGCAGATACCAGGGCCATCTCCTTATCTGGATACAGAAACAGAGGGCAGGAGGCGGGCTACATGTCCCAGCGAGCACAGAAGGCAGCACACTGCAGCCACAGTCCACCACGACACACCACCCCTGGTGCCCCTCACCCAGGCCAGCCTCTGAGAAGGTAGGCCGCGGCAGCAGGGGCCTGCAGTGGGTGGTTGGCGGACACCCGTGTGACCAACCCGGCCCAGCTCTCAGGGGCCCAGTGCTGGTCTCTGGAGCCCACTGGCGCCCTTACCTACTCGGAGCTCCTGCCCGAAGACCGTCCTCTCGCCCAGCGCCGAGCAGTTCCAGCGGGCAAAGCGAAACTGGTGCTGGCACTCGTTGATGCCCATCTGCGCGCCCTCGCCGACCACGATGATGGCCTCAGGGCGACTCTGGCAGATGGCGCGCTGCCGCGGGGCCAAGCCAGGGATCTTGTTGCAGATGATGTTAGCTCCCAGGGCCACCACGGAGGACAGCGCTCTGTGGGCGGGACAAGAGACAGCGGTGAGGTGAGCTGGTGGGAGCGCCCCCCACCCCGACCCTCAGCCCTGCAGCTGGCAAGCATCCACCAGCACCTACCGGGCATGGGCGAACAAGGGGAGAACCCTGCCTCCTCAGGTCCCCGGCTCCGCTCCCCTCTCTGTGAGCCCCTCGCTTAGAAATACACGCACCCTCACCCATGCCCTCCCACCTCAGCGTCAGAGCCCGCGCTCCGTTTTCCCTGAGTCATTAGAATGCTCATGGAAGGGCAGTCAGGAGATCCCAGGATGCACTGCATGGGCTCAGTCTGCTCACGAGACTTCGTTCAAGGGTTGATGTCACTTTGAGGACTCGGGTACGTCTGACCCGAGCCATAGCATTGTCGATCGCCTCATCTGCACGTGAGAGTGGGACACTGAAGGGGAACCATGCATCTGAATGACGGCGCTGGAGAAGACCACTGAAAGTACCGTGGACTGCTCCACTGCTCCAACGACAAAGTGGTCTGTCTTGGACGGAGCGAGGCCAGATGCACGGTGAGCCTTCTTTGTCTCACATACTTTGTCTCCGTACTCTGGGCAGTCGGCAGGGGAGCCCCACCCCTGGGGAAGGGCATGGTGCTTGGTAAAACAGAACGCCAGTGCGAGAGAGGGAGGCCCTTGACAAGATGGACAGACACAGGGACTGCAACCACGGGCTCAGAAAGGAGGAAATTGTGAGGCTGGCGTAGGACCGGCCGCTATGGGTCGGAGCCGACCGGACAGCACCTAACGATAACGACGGGCCTAAAGGTGGGTGTGTGGGTCCCACCCAGCGGCACCTCGGAAGAAGAGAGCAGGAGGCCAACGTCCCAAAATATGGCAGCCAAGAAAACGAGACGGACGCCCCACGGTTCACACCCAGCTCTCCACAACCAGCGGAACCTAGCAGGGCCGTGGCATTGCCAATCTCGTGGGAACTCGAGTGCCATGGTCGCAGAGCACAAGTCCCACAAGGTCACAAGCGTGTGGAGTCGCAAGTCTCGAGGGATCATGCGTGGCAGGGGCCTGGCCGGCGCCTGGCAGCGTCGTGTGTGCAGAGGTGCTGTGGGTGGTGCGTCAGCCTTCGGCCTGCTCCCTGCATGTCTGTCGGACTCCCTGGCCAACCCGGGCTGCCCCCACCCCGGTCAAGAGAAGCAGTCGGTGTTTTTCCGGGCAGCCAAGCCTAGCCAGCTGGGAAAATCCCCATGTGGTCGGAGCCCACAGCACGTGCTGTACCCGACACCCAATCCCTGGACCGCCCACCGGCCGCCCTCCCACGCCCCCTAATCTGCTGGACCCTTAGGGCTCCCACGGGCACAATGGGCCTGCCCGCCCCAGTCTGGCCTGGAGGAAGCGCATCTGGGCGGGTGGGGCTGGGAGCTAGCTGGAATCTGGGGAATTCAGCCCCAAGTAACCTTAGACCCTTGGAAAACCGGCCAGGGATCTGAGATGGATGGGAACCTGCAGGCCGCCTGGCTGTGGGTGCCTAGTTTACCTCCCAAGCTGCACTATCACACCTGCTGGGGGCCTGGCCCGAGGGACCTCAGGGGACTGCTAGCCTCACCTCCATCTCCAGGCAGGCAACACCCAGGCCTGGCCAACTCAGGAGGCGCAGACCCCCTTGTCCCAGGATCGGACTCGCTCCACCGGCGTCCAGCCAATATTCGAGGCCCAGTGTCTGAGCAGACAGTGGCGGGCCTGAGCCTGGTGGGCCGTCTGATGCTGGTCGGGTGTCGCTGTGGGCCGGCTGAGAGACTGCACAAACGTACCCCCCCCCCCCCAGAATGGTATCTACCCAAAGCCTGACGGTGTAAGGAGAGACAGGCGTGCCGTCCAATTAACACCGGGGCTGAGGACCTGTGGAGACAGTGCTCCAAAGAAAACATTCAAGTGGCCAACCGCACAGGAGCAAACCACCCGTGTCATTAGCGATTAGGGAGCAACACGTCCAAACCACAGGAAGACACTGCTTCACACCCAGGGGATGGCGGCCATCCAGAGAAAAGCCCAGGGTGCGGGGCAACCGGGACCCACGCCCCGCCCGTGGCTGGTGGGGGAGTCAAATGGTGCTGCTCCCGGTAAACACAGCATAGCAGTCCGCACCCCCCCCCAACAGACACTTACCCAAAGTTAATGCAGGATGGACATACAAGGGGGCTCCCGAACATTCAGAACGGGAGCGTTCCACTACCTTTAAATCCCATTTCCCCGGAACTTTTTCAAGCCCCTGTAGAGGGTTACGAAGAGCCCTGGTGGCCTAGGTGATTGTGGGTTGGGCTGATAACCACAAGCTCAGCTGTTCAAGACCACTGGCCACTCCGAGGGAGAGAGACGGAGCTTCCTACTCCAATACAGAGTTACGGTCTCAGAAACCCCCAGGGGCAGTTCCACCCTGTCCTGTAGGGGCGCAGTGAGTCCGCATTGGCTCTGCCTGACGGCATTGTGTTTGGGTCCTGGGGTACATGTCGGGCTGCCCACTGCAAGGTGAGCAGTCGCCTTGGGAGAAAGAGCAGGCTCTCTGCTTCCATAAAGGGTGAGCCTTAGAAACCCTGAGGGGCAGTTCCACCCTGTCCTGTAGGGGCGCTGTGAGTCAGACTCCACCCGATGGCAGAGAGCATGTTTTCGTAGGACCCAGCAACCCTACACGGAGGTATAGACTCCCAAAGCATGGGGACCAGATGTTGAACCCCAACCCTGTGCCCAGATGTCCGTAGTGTGCAATTGCCAACAGGTGGCAAGGGCCCAGGTGTCCGTCAGCAGAGGGGAGGGGAACAGAGTGGAGTATTATTCAGCCGTAAGGAGGAAGAAAGTCATGCTGTGTGAAGTCCGGGGGTGGGGGTGGTGGGTGGACCGTGACAAGCATAGTGCGGAGAGGAACCGGACGATTCCCCTTCTTTCTACAGAGTGTCTAGACCAGAGAGAGGACACCGGGGCGGGCGAGGCAATGAGAGGCTTTGCTAATGGGCCTGGGAATTCCAGCTGGGGAGATGAGAACGCTCTGGAGCGAGTTACTGATGGTGGGAGCGGAACATCAGGAAAGCACCAAGCGCTGGAAGTGGTCCTTCCTCCCACGTGGTATGTATTTCACTGCCATTTCTAACATAGGGGCCAGGACAGCACACGGACTCTGCACGCCAAGGATGCCCAGTGGTCCCAGGGGGAAAAGGACCAGGCTTGTGGGCCACGCCTGTTGGTGGACAATGGCATCTAAGGCCAGGAGTGGTCCACCAGGAACCCCCCACCTGCCACATGAGTGTCCACTCTGATGCTGTCCATGTCCCAGGACCTGTCCCCAGCTCCTCTGCCGTGCAGCTGGGGGCCTCGGGGACTGGCCTGCATCGGTGAAGCGTGGGAGTGGGTCCGAAGTGAAAACATGTCAGGACGACCAATTGGCACTGTGCCGATGGAAGCATCACCGGGCGGAGGGGGCAGCCGGGAATAACTAGTTCAGGGGTGACCCACGGGACAGATGCCCTCAGCAGGATGCCCCACCAGGTCTTACCCCTCTGTGGCTGGCTGCCTATCCCCTGCTGTCCACCAGGGTCCCAGAAAGGCCAGGGTCTCTGAGTGACCTGTGGGCTCACCTCTCTGTACTGTTCAGATACCTGAGGACACTGTGAGGGGAGGTCTGAGAACCGCCCTCTACCCCGCTGGATGTGGGGAGGGGCCCTGCAGACCAGACACTCGCTCAGGCCGGAGGACCCTGAGGTTGGAGAGCAGCGGGGGGAGGCGGGTGCTCAGATATGTCGTTCTTCCTGTCTTGTATCCTGGCACTGTGGGAGGAGGGGGCTGCCTCTGGGGGCTGCAGAGATCTCTGTGCCTGCCCAACAGCCCCAAGAGGCATCTAGGGGACCTCCAGGGACGAGGGGTCCAATGGGGCGGGGAGAGGAGCCGCAGCCGGCTGACACAGGCCCACCCCTTTGCTTTAGCTCCAGCCCGGTTCTAGATTGCCCGCCTGCAGCCCCATGCGGCTGTGTGAGGGGCCCGGGCGTGGCTGGGACTCTGGCCGTGGCTCTTGCCTGCTGTGTGACCTCAGCACGTTTCTGAGCCTCTGTGCCCCTTAGCTTCCTCCTCTGTTAAGTGCGATGATGAGGGCCCTGCTCCCTCACAGGGTTGCGGGGAGCATGGGTGAAAGTGACTCATGGACTTCAGGGCTGGCCATCCTCACAGCCACTGCTGTCCACTTGATTCCGGACATGTAGCACCCCTGGGAGGTGCTGAGACTAAATCTTTATCGGAGCAGTCCAGGCAGCCTCATTTTTCTCCCAAGGAGTGACTAGGGGTTTTGAAGGGCTGACCTTGCAGTTAGCGGCTCAGGGTGTAACCCCAGCCCCTGCACAGGAGCAGACAGCCTCATCTTTCACCCAAGGAGCAGTCAGTGGGTTCAAACAGCCAGCGTTTCGGTTAGCATCCAGGGCTGGCCCCTGGCCCCACTGGGGCTCCTTGGAAGGCTTAGTACTGACCCTCATTCATTTGACACTCGGGGTCTCAGACCTGGAATCCAGCCCCCAGCTGATCCCTCACCCTCCTCCTGGAATCGTTGTCCATAAAGAACCACCACTTTATGGTCGGGCAGCTCAGAAACCCACCCGTCTGTCACCCACGGCTTCATCCACCAATGTGAGCTGGCAGTGCCACTCGGGGTCCCTGCCCCCCAAAGATGTGAAGGCTTCTGTCCACACAAATATATACATACATGCGTGTGCATGTGCACACTCACAGGGTGGCTGTTCTCAGAACAGTAGCCCCTTGTCCATCAGCAGGAGGCCAGCCGTCAGGCAACAGCGTGGAACCCAGTGAGAAGAAGGGACAAGAAGTCAAACAAGAGGACCAGGCACCCTGGAACCCCCACAGCTCATCTCTGAGGCGGGGGCAGCACAGTCACACCCTTGGGTGGGAGAGGCTCGAGGGAGCGGGCTAGGCACTGGGAAGGCCCACGTCCTGAGCGGGGCTGACTCAGCTGCACACGCATGTAACTGT